TTTGCTTCGTTATGGCACAAGCGATTATGTTACATCTCTCAAAAGAGAATGAAAAATCTTGTATCATAAGGAATACTTGTTTCCCTTAATTTTTCAGACTTAATTGTTTATATTAATTACATGAAGCGAAAACAAACAAACATAAGGAGATTAGATATTATAGAATTTCGGACTTCTTAGAACTAATTTAAATGGATATCTGTGGGTCATTCAATTCGACTTCTTGAAATGATCAACAATAAGTTATTATATTCATAGACGAATTTTTTTCACTATGGCTTCTCATCTATGAGAAATCTCAAACACTAGACATAGTCAAGGCATACAAAGCTGAGTTTGAAAAACAAATATGTAAAAGAATTTAACAAGTCAGATCTTACTATAGTGTTGAATACTATGGCATATATGACGGAGTAAGAGAACAATGTCTAGAGCCTTCTGCTAAATTTCTAGAGGAATGTGAAATCTTCCCACAGTATACCATGTCAGGGTCCTCGGCATGAATGATGTTATTGAGAGACGAAACAGAACAATTAAAGACATGATAAGGAGTAGGATTAGTCATATCACCTTGTGAAAATCTCTATAGAAAGAAGCACTAAAGACTGCAGTTTAAATTTTCAATAAAGTTCCAAGTAAAACAACTGTTAAGGAGTTACAAATTTTTAAAAATCTCACTATTATGTCAATTTTCGAAATGAAAGATGTTCGATTCCTTAAGGATGTAGAGTTTGCAAAGGGAGATAAGGTTTTAAGGTTAAAGATTTTGTCTTTGAAGAAGGATATGTATATATTTTTTCTGTTGCAATTGACAATGATCGGGACCAGAGACAAATTCTTGCTTCAAATCTTGTTCAAGAAGTAATTTCAGATCAAGACAATATTACAAAATCCCATATAAACAATAAAAAGATTGTTCCGAAAAAACAAACTCGATAACCTTAAGAACAAATACCATTAAGGAAATCCATTATAAAAAGGAGAAATACAATTCTTGATGAATTTATAATCTTTCTCCAAGAAAATATGGATGTCATGGATTGATGAAAGAAGAATTGATCAATCAACTTTCATCAAACCATGAAAAAGAAAAATTCTAAAGAGTAGATTAATGTCATGCATAAAGAGATAAAGTTCATGAGTAATAGTGACGTTTGAGAACTTGTCACATTACCTAAAGGTACGAAACTCATTGGTTACAAATGGATATATAAAACCAAGAGGGATTCGAAGGGTAATGTGGAAAGATATAAAGCTCGTCTTGTTGCAAATGGCTTTGCTCAAAGGGAAGTCATCGATTACAAAGAGGTTTTCTCTCCAATTTCAACAAAAGACTCTTTTAGGATTATAATGACACATTTTAAACTTGAGCTACATTAGATGGATGTAAAGACGGCATTTCTTAATGGTGACCTTGATGAGACGATATATACGGTACAAGCGGAAAACTTTGTCTCAGGAGACTCGAAAAAAATGGTTTACAAATTAAAGAAATCCATTAATGGACTTACGCAGACTTCACGTCAATGGTATCACAAATTTCATCAAATAATCACCTCGTTTGGTTTTGAGATGAATGTGGTTGATGATTGTGTATACCACATGTTCAATGGGAGTAAGTTTATATATTCCTGGTATTGTATGTCGATGGCATACTGCTTGCTTGCAATGATATTGGCGTATTGCACGAAATCAAGAGATTTCTTTTCATCAAAGAATTTTGAAATAAAAGATCTTAGTGAAGCCTCTTTTGTATTAGGAATTCAAATACATTGAGATCGTTCTCGGGGTATTCTTGGATTATCACAAAAGAGCTATATCGATACGATACTTAAGAGATTTGGGATGTAAGATTGCAAACCAGGTGATACCCCTATTGCTAAGGGAGACATTTTAGTCTCAATTAATGCCTCAAGAATAAAGAAAAGGAAATACGGGAAATTTCCTATACTTCAGTAGTTGGGAGTTTAATATATGCTTAAATTTGCATACATTCGGATATAGAATTCACTGTAAGAATGCTAGGCAGATAGTTTAATTAACTTTGGGATGGAAATTTGGAAAACAGNTGCATAAAGAGATAAAGTTCATGAGTAATAATGATGTTTGGGAACTCATCCTATTGTTAGAAGGTACGAAACTTATTGGATGTAATTGTATATTTAAAATCAAAATGGATTCGAAGGGTGATGTAGAGGATATGAGTCTCGTCTAGTTGTAAATGACTTTACTCAAAAGGAAGGCATTGACATTAAAGAAACATTTCTTTGATTTCTATGAAAGACTCTGTTAGGACAATTATGACATTTGGGACACATTTTGTTCTTAAAAGACGTCGGATGATTTACAAATTAAAGAAATTCATCTATGGGTTTAAGCGATTTCCCGTAATGGTATCACAAATTTCATCATATAATTATATCATTTGGTTTTGAGATGAATTCAGTTGATGATTGTGTATATCACTAGTTCAGTGGGAGTAAGCATATTTTTTGGTATTATATGTCAATAATATACTACTTGCTTGCAATAATATAAGCTTATTGCACGAAACCAAGAGATTTCTATTATGAAATTTTGAAATGAAAAATTTTGGTGACGTATCTTTTGTATTAAAGATATAGATACAAATGAATCGTTCTCGGTATATTTTTTGATTATTACAAAAGAGTTATATCGATAAAGTTATAAAGTTTCTAAGAGATTTATGATGCAGCTATGTAAATCAGGTGATACCTCTATTGTTAAGAGAGATGAGTTTAGTCTCAATTAATGCCCAAATGAAAAATTTAAATAAAGAAAAATACAGAAAATTTCCCGTGCTTTAGCTATTGAGAATTTAATGTATACTTAGGTTTGTACACATCTGGATATAACATTCATTGTTGGAATGTCAGACAATATTTAATTAACTTTGGGATGAAAATTTGGATAGCAGTTGATTTTACCAAAAATTGTCATATGTTGATTTCCGAACTTGAAGATTGATTATGATCACAAACGAGATTTTCGGTACCTAAAACAAAGGCGTCGAAGTGTGCACTCGTCGTCCATCCAATGCTTAAGTTAGCGAAAATTTGAAATATAAGCATAAAACTATAAATTGAATGTAATAGTTGAATAATGAATTTGAACCTGTATTTATAGAGGTAAGTAGCACACTCTCGATAAGATTAGGATACTTGAAGCCTTATAAAGAATATGTCATTTGAGATAGAGAAGGGACAAAGATAAAAATTCGAGGTGACGGGGAATCGTTACATGCGGCAATTAAGCCCAATGAAGACACCATGGGAAAAATCCCAAGATGACCGGAAACAACCTCGAGCATTATTGTTTGGAGTTGATCAAAAAATGACCACATCACTAGCCACTTACATCCATGTTCGGGGCTCGAGAATGTTTGTTAGAATGCTCGAGGTTCGAAGATGAGATGCAGATTGCTCGAGTAGAGTGTCGACTGCTTGAGGTTGAGAGAAGAATATGTTAATAGGCCCCCGAGCACATAGATCTAGGAAAGAAAGCTTAAGGCGTATAAGTGGTGTGCTGTCGTAGGCACC